GGGGAGCGCGAGCGGACATGAGCGGGGTGCGCGCGCGTGCGCAGCTGGTAGGCTGGCGTGGGGGCAGGTCGGGCAGCGCGCGTGGGCGATAGCTGGCAGGTCGGGCAGTTGCGGGCAATTACAGTTAAACGGGTTGGCGGATTGACCTTACAACCCGTCGGGTCCAACTTGGATTTTCCAGGGTCGGGTTTTTATGTCGTGTCAAATATTGACACCCCTAATGCGGGCTCATCATCATTATTATATACGGATGTCAAACGCCGTTCGGAGACCAATCAAAATGTGCCACGTCACCCCGAAGCGGGTCGGGTTCGGGTCTAGGATTTCGACCCGTTTGCCTATCCGGGTCGGGTTAGGGTCGACCCAATTGAACCCGAGTCAGTTCCGGGTTCGACCCGAACCCGACCCGTGACCCGAAATTGACACCCCTACTCGGTACCATGGCTCAGTACTGTTGACATGACACATTCTGATTGGTCTCCGTATAACGTTCTGCATCCAGTATCCGCACAAAATAATTTCTCCATCATATGAGTCTAAGAGGATAAATGAGCAGACATTATCTCCACCCATTCAAAAGTTCTTGGAAGGGCTCATTGATGGGTAAAACTAAAAAATATTTTACATTGAATAGAGTTCACATTAGTGTTATTGTTCAAATGTCAAAATTGTAAGCCTCTAACCTTTTATCGAAAGAAAGCTGCTAATCCAATAACAATCCTTCTTAAAGATCAACAAGTAGCTTCGCAAGAATAATTTTTGGAGAAATTATTTTTTGCGGACATCGGACTGTCCAGAGGTGAATTAGAGCGAGCCACATCACCTGATACCACATTCGATCTTTCAAGCAAATGAAGATTACTATCCTCCGACAAATGTTATAGTTAAATTGAACATTTCAATAAGACGGATTTTATGACACCAAAAAGTGATTTGATTTGTGCTTGAATTAACTAAGATCAAGCTCTTAAAGCGTAATTGAAAATTTTGAGACATTAATTTGGATGATAAAATTTTATAATTTTATTTTGATAAAAAATTCTGATTTATATTTATTTAATCTTAATATTTTAATGTGCTTTTATATTGTAAAATAAATATTTTAATTCATGAGAATTTTCTTAAGATCTGATTAAAGAACTATATGTCATTACTTTTATTTTAGTTCTTTTTAAATTTGAAAATTTTGAGATGATTCGTTTTATTTTAAAAAATAATAATTATATGTGTTTTTTTACACTCATATAAATAGTTCAAAATATTTTAAATATATTACTTTTCTTTTATATTGCATGCTATTTTACTAAATATTATTTTTTCAATATGCCAAATATTCATTTTTAACATAATCATGATTTTTTTTTTCAGAAAAAATTTATATCTACAAAACGTATGCTTCATTTGAAATAAAAAATAAGGCAAAATAAGTAATTATTTTCAAATTGAATATTTTTTTTATATATGAATTAAACA